CTGTTTCAGTGATAGTGTCACACCTCCAGCGGCTCAGATCCTCGCGACCACCTATATATTTAGCTGGCGCTGCGTTTGTATCTTCTGCGCTTTTTCCCCTTTTACCAAACTAAGCAAAGGTCCAAAGCTCGGAAAATGTCATAGAATAAGTCTGCGAACGCGCCGCAATGCCGAAACAAAATGAACTTATAAATAAGTCTCAGAGCCGCATAGGGAAACTATAGTCTTATATGCTGAAAAAATTGATGGACTTCTAAATGCATTGACTGATTATGTTTAACAAAAACCCACTGAACTTAACCAACCAATCGATATGATATGACAATTATATTCACTAGGTCATTACATGAAAGAGGGAGAGTGAAACGCGATTTGGTAGCGGCAGTAATCCGGCTGATAAAGAAAGCGAGTTCTCGAAAAGCTGGCTATTATCTTTACAAGACCAGAAAGGTTATCGATTATACGGTTGGTCGAAATCATAAAAACAAAAACATCAATACTATTGAAGACCGATGTAGACCTGCACATTGATTTGCATAGAAAAGTGCCAAACGAGCGCTAACAACAAAAACGCTGTCACTTCGCTGATAACTTGCAAACTATCTTTGCAAAAATCACTGAGAGAAGCCACGTTATTATTTGGAGAAAAACCATTGATGAACCAATATCTAGGAACTAAACGCGAAAAGCGCAACTTCGTAGAACAAATTTAGTGGACGAGTTGTTGATAAAGGCTTACAGAAAAAGAAACGAGGAAAAACGCTGAAGAAAAAGCCAGAGGAAAAAATTTGAACACACGGTTTCTTTCACGCCAAATAAGTGCCACGTCTGCGATTACGGCCGGCATTTCGTTTTTTCAAAAATAATCATGCTCTGCTTTCATTTGAACATTTCTATCGAATTTTGATGTGAATTACATGCTTTTACTTGTTTTTAGGGTTTCATAGTTGTGAATTATCCTATACTGACTTAGGACAAACCTGGAAATAATGGCGGTACCGCAAGATGCCGAGGAGCCGGTTTGTCCTGAGAATTTCCGCAAGTCACTGAAAGATGGATCCTTCACAGTGCCGGATATCACAACGAAAGTCTATAAGGAAGAGTGCACTTACTGCTTTAGAACACCTTTCTTTGCAGGTAAGGGGATCTTTCTTTAATTCTATCAATTTTATCATGTTTCATCATATTTCAAGGTGGTTTATTTGTATGTCTGAAGACTTATGCCTGCTTTTGTTTCACTCATGTTGGCTTGTATGCTGAACAATCAGGAAACACCTTGTTCCTCCATATCTCTAGCAAGAAGGCAAGGCTTGATTTTTGATGCTATCTCCCGTTCACAGACATCTTAACCAGGTTACTCTTGAGTCGGAGGAAGAGTCAGATGGAGAACCCAAAGATAAAATCAC